ATTTTTCTAACTACAGTCAAGTTTAGTTGAGTGTGATTTTTCCTCTGGGTCAGTGATGAACATTGAGTTCTACCCGTCGTCCCGTGCGCCATGATGTAGGTCCGCAGAGCATTGTAGTTAACCTATCTCTGAACAGATCGTTGTCTTCTTCTACTTAGCATGTGACTTGCGGCGCTCTGGCTCCTTTCTACAAACTGACGTCTTGGCATTCGGTCACCATCACTAGTGTTACATCGGTACTATTCAAAAATCGACCAGAGGACACATTGGGAACCAAAGCTGTAACCAAAGAGATCAAGATTATGGAACTGCCGTGCTTTCATGACTACGCATTTACTATCGTTCCCGTGCCGCTAGAAGTGCGAATCTATTCTCTGGTTTCTTGGCATAATTACGCGACCAGACAGAAGCCTGAGCTTTTCTCCTCCCTACGGCAACGGTCCAGCCGTCCTCAGGTTTATGAACTGGTGATGTCTTCACTCCAATTGGTCGCGGCGATCTTGAAACATTTAACGGTGCTGAAGTCGGTGGGACACTGGAAGGAGCAACTATGCGTGCTGCAGGAGCGGTATCTGGACGCTTTCGCGTTCTTGCTATACTGCTCGAAGACAATGGCGTAAATTGTGGTGAACGATGGGGATCAACAGCCACGACTGAGAAAGTCCTAGTGCCTGACGCAGTCTCAGAGATTGGATGACGAAAAAGTGCTCTGACGTCGAAATTGGGACGTGCCCCGTTCAACTGATAATTTGCGGGAGAGTTATGAAGAGATGCATGTTTTCCGTTGGCGTCGGGAAGATTTACCCGCTGTTCTGCGACAGCCGTCCATTCTATCCAGTTTCTATCACGAGCTAGTTTACCGACGAGGGTTGATTTGCCAAGCCCGGACAGGAAACTTCGGCTTGAGACAATAACTAGGCCTCGTCGGCATCGTGTAAGCATGACGTTCATTCGCTGGTCAGAGCGTAAGAATCCGGGTTCCCGACCTCGGACGACCGAAACTAAGACGATGTCTGCTTCGTTTCCTGTACATATATCGTAAGCCCGAAATTTGTATATCCACTGTAACGACCGAATACCTTGGAAGCTGTCAACATTGAACACCTTCCCCCACGGAAGGTTGTTGTTCTGGAGTTCTCTCTCTATGGCGGCTCTTTGCGCGTCGTACGGAGTGATAATGCAAAAGTTCCGGTCTTTGTAATACAGCTTGACAAGATGGACGATCGTGCGGATCTCCGAGGCGTTCTAAATCAAATATGTATGAATTGCCACTCCGTTAGTTACGTGGACAAATAACCTACCCGCCAACTCAGACCAGACTTTTCCTCTGTTCCTGTTTTAGTGTCGATAAATGCGACACAAGATGGGTCTTTTATCCCATGCTCTGAACGAAGTCGATTATTGTAGACTTCTCGTGAAATGAATTCACCAAGTGGATGCGGCATGCGATCTGCAGAGATGAGGTGTCTGCTACTGGGTCTCCTGCTAAAAGTACTCACACTGAATGTTCAGGAAGTACGATTCATTCTTCAGATGTTCAATGTCGAAGATACATTGCATCGACGGGGCTTTGTCCTTCCCGTACGGCGGTACTTAGCAATGCAAGTGAGATATGGATTGACGTAAAGATATGCGGGAACTCTAACGCTGTTTTGGATCTCCAAAGAAGCATACCTTTGTCATCACGTTCCGAAACTTGAAGAATACATGCTGTGATAAGTCCAGTCATTTTTGGATCTCGAGGTAAATTGCGACTAACCATATATTCGAAGACATTTATCTGAGAAGCCTCGTCAACCACGAGGATCGTCAGCGGAACAAGGTCGAACATCCCATTTTTGTCCAATGCTGGATTTGAGAGCATGCTTAATGTAGATAGAATAATGGTCGATGCGCCGATGGTATTTTCTAGGTCCTTCGGATTATCCGGGAGTTCGTCTCCACGAAATAGTCTATCCTCTATCTTGGTGTAGAGGTGCTCGTGCCTATACAACGAGAAATTAATGAGAATATATAGCAAAGGGCGAGACCCTCACTCACCATTCGACGTAAAATTCCTTGGATACGATGATCTTGAAGTCGACGTCAGACGACGTTAGCTTCTCTGCAATGTTCTTAACAGCGACATTCGAATGAGCTACAATCCACGTTGGTAACTTTTTCCGACCCCAGATCACAGCCGCTGTGGAGATGGTCGACGTTTTACCGGTTCCAGGTGGGCCTCATGAAAAATCCTATGTCAGCATATTATGCAGGCTCGTACAACATTGATAGCTCCTCACCGTGCACTACAACAAGGGACCGAGCCGACACCATAGCTGATACCACCTTTTTCTGCGAATCGTTTAGCTTCACAGTCAGTGGGTGTGCGATCGGAGCTACAGAAACGTGATCCTCCCGGTCTTCCTGGTTTGGAAACCAGAGCATCCTCACGAATTTTGAATGCCTGAGATGACAATCGCCCTGTAAAGCACGAAGTAGAAGCTCATCACGAGCGTTCTCGGTATTCGTCCCTCCTTCTCTTCCTATGACTTTCACGCTTGCCACCGTTCCGGAAAAACCACCACGGACTTTGATTTCAGTTTGTTTTCCGCGCGACTTTTTCGGTGATCCTCGGAACTGGCGGCCGTCAGATGTAGTCAAGATTACTGCCAGCTAATTCCACAAGATAAGAAAATCAGTAAGTTTAGAACATGAGTTACATGCCTGTGGACTCGCACGTATGCGTGTAGTAAAACGAGAATTGTATACCTGCAGTCGGCCGATCTTACTATCCATTTTAGCTTCGGAGAAGTCGCTGGAGATCTCCGTGGGTTTGGTGCGCTGCAATATATCGGCCTCTGATAACAGGCGACCTAAACATGCGAGAACCTTCACAATTGTCTCGATCACTATAGTCTGAAGGAAATAAAGCGTAACTCACTTCCGGTATCATCCATCGAGTCTCGATCGGCTTGATCATCTGCACGATGTCCAGGTTCCTTTTGATAATACTACATCTGAACCGTGAGTGTAAGCCGAACGAAGAAACAGGGCAGATCTTACATAGCAGAAATCCATGCCCGAAGGCAAACTTTCCGGATGGTTTCATGTTCTTCTTCGTCCAATCCGTCGTTCCACAGACTGTCAACCTCAAAACCATCGACTTTCATGGACATTGTTTCACAGAGGAGCTTCGCCGGATAATAGGGATTGCTAGCAGTTTTCGAGCGAAAGGTAGACAGATCGATAGTTTGAACGTGATAGTTCAAGTGACAAAAGAGGCGGATCGAGAGTCATGGCATATTAAACCCAGCGAGTACCGGCTGTTTCGCGGACAGTAAGGCCCGAAAAGGTTTGTCCTTGGGCAAAATTCCATAATTATCCGAGAGTGAGATGACAGCGACCTCCTCGGGAGTCGCAAGAGCAAGGTACTCCACGCCACTACCTGCCCGTGCTTGAACAATGGATATTCCCAGGCATTGTTCGTTTAGCAGGACTTCCGCTGCGCTCCCTGCTTGTCGGCGGGAGTGACGGTGAATTCGTATTTCCCGGCGCTCCTGGGGAAGAAAAGACTGCCTGAGGGTGTTCATGAGAGTATGAAGGAAGAAACGAGGCAAGCTACTGCTGGCAGAAGTGTCAAGCCGGGCGCTAATCATTCCACAAGGCAACCTCCGCACCCTCTCTCATTGGTGAGTATACAGCTGGGGGAAAACGTGGACTTACATACCTTAAGCTACTTCATTTCGAATAAGATTGATACCGAAGAACTTCAGTTTTGACGATTCAGGTTATGAACATCCACGATGATGTACATTCCTTAGCACGAAACAGGCCACTTTTCCGGTGCAAAAGTTAAGTTAACCTTTTCAGATTCTCAAAGAAGAAGGCCCCAAACCTAGCTCATCTGCAACGAACGACAATAGTTGTGTGTCCTCAACGCGTGTCGCCACAGCTGCCCTGTGATACTCCAATTTTCCATATAACATGCGCTTTTAACTTTGGTAAGTTGGTCAAACTAGGATGCGCTGCTGACAGAACCTTGAAGCCATCTCACCGATCAGTCCCCACAGTGCGGAAAATGATTTGTAGCGTAGCCGAAGAACTCCCTGAATCTAAAGGTCTTAACTCCTGTAGGGTACATCAAATGTTAAACTGGCTTGTAAGAATGTCAGTATCCGTCCTTCTAAAAGCAAGACAAACCTCTGCGCAAAGGCATTGTAAGCAAGAGAGATCCAAGTTGGTATTAGAAGCCTAGCCTAAGGGCCGGGCCGAAGCAAACCCCGAAATACTCCGAAACTAACAACAGAATCTCAGGAAGGGACCATACGAGGCGATTTTAGCTCGTCTAAAAAGCAGAACCTCATTACTTGCGTGGAGGTAATGAAAAATCGATAGTCACCTTCAAACCAAAGAAAATAATTGCGACCTATGGCCCGGCCCCCATTGCCCAAAAATTCAAGTCCGGTTAACAAGTAAGGGGAAGGGTTGGATAAAATAGGGTAAGAAATGGTGAATTACCGTCTCCTTGGTATTTATTCGTGTGCAGTAGGGTTGCGCACGAAACCCCCTGTTTTGATACACCCCGGTTTCGGACCGGTAATTTACCGGTAAGTTACTGGTAAGAAACCACAAGTCAGTGGAGCATATTTCATTGAGGTAACTTACCGACCACGTGACAGGGAGAAGGATTCTCAGACTTAGATGTGTATAAAGAAGTAAGAAGATGTAGCCAGAGAATTCTGATGGGTATTGGGACAGAATTCATGAGTATTTGAGGTACGACAATGGGGCAGCGTAGCGTCGTGGCGTCGTACAGAAGAATTTGGAAAAATGGCTCCGCGGAGGTCACGTGAATGAGTCCCGGGATTGGTAAGAAACAGTTAATTACCGTACCGGTAAGAAACCCCCCCAGGGAGGGTGGGTACAAAACGGTATCAAATCCCCCCCCCCCCCTGGAGGTTTCGTGCGCAGCCCTAGTGTGCAGCGCTAGGACAACTCTAGTAGAGAGAGAAAATATCTGGACACATTGGGAATTGAACCCAACACCTCCCGCATACACAACACAGATGCTAAGCGGGCGTGATAAACCAACTACACCATGTGCCCACACTGAAGCTATACTCCATAAATTTGATGGATACACATACCTGCACGTGAGTCAAAAGTACTTCGTGGTACCTGACCGACCTTCCTCCCGTTATTTTATGCCTATATGCCTCTAGAAAATCAACACATCTTCAAAATTGAAGTACTAAAATTTGTGGCTCTACGTGGTGAGAAGCTTAATTTCTCCCTCCGCCGAGGGGCGGCGAGGGCTTTGCCGGCATTCTACTAATCTTCCAGCCACCATCATCCATGTCATCCGTCCATGGTGAGTTATTTATTTTGCACAATTAATTGATGCTCAAATCCAAATTCCATTTGAGTGCGCTATACCCTCCTATACCCAATCTGCAATCATGCAACTAGATCGAGATTTGTAAGAGAGCTTAATCTATATTTTCTTAATACTTCACATTTACCCTACATATTTAGCGAAACAGGGAAAATACTGTTACGAGGGTAATCCGGCAGCAGTGCTCCAGCTAGACATGCCACGAGTACTCTTCTCGAGACACATCGAAAAGCTTTTGCATGGAAACAAGGTATTACCGATAACCGTGAACGAGGCATCTTCGAATGCGTTCAGTTCGGAACGTCTTTAACGCCTCCTGGTATATCCTTCCATTATTTCTTTGTCGTTTGTGCTCACTCAAGGCTTGTGCCCAGAGAAACTAAGAGCAACCAACAATCCCCACTCCCAACTCATCTGCGACCTTCTTTCGGACCACCCCCTGTTATCTATAACCTAGGACGGTGCGGAATTCCGCTGCTGCGGACAAATCCTACAATCTTTACATATATCATTCGTCATAATATGCTACATTTCCGTCTGAAGATTGAGGGGACTACTACATTGTGCGGCAAGCAACATGTGGTTGGTGACAATTCTCCGCGCAACCGTCCTTGTCAATGGATGGGTCGTAGGAGGGGCCTGGTGCTACCGAAGAATATGAAAGAGGCTTCAGCATCGGCGCAAAATATGACTCCCTGCCTTGACGGCATCCGGTGGATCGTGGGGATGTTCCTTCAGCATAGATCGCACTTTACAGTTTTTCTTCTGATGGAAATTAACGATGTCGCCAACTTTCACACCCTTGCGATGTTTTTTTACCACAGGTCCGTCGCCCTTCCAGTTTGCTCTCTTTACGAACTCCATTAGCCAAGCTCCAACACGATTATCAATTCTTGGTTGAAAACTCCCCTCTGGGCGTTTCCGATTATGCGATACCAGATTCTCGAGCTCCTGTATGCTATATCCATCAGCTTCTTGATGGTAGCGAATGTATCGTGCGTCTCGAGTTGAACTGTCTCCGGAACTAAGTGCACCGATGTCCTAGAGTCACGTATTGAGCTGCGTAATCTTGCCGAGCAATTTTGGATTGAGGGCGCGATGGGCATCTCACAAAGGGTGTAGTCAACTCTTTGGAAGGAGTGCGCACCCAAGAGACATGCAAAAGTTGTGCATGTGGGAGAAAATAGTACGTATCCTTCTGCCGTAGTAACCACTTCCGCTATCGTTGGCTTTTCTTCGCAGCACATCGTTGCCCGTACAAAGGCTGTCACGGTCATGAAATTTTTTACTCTAGAGGAACACATACAGTGACACATACTAAGAAATACTGAATAGTAATATCCCACGTCGTTACGGATGATCTACTACCTGATATTCACGACTTTTATAATTCTGGTCCAAACCGTCTCTTTGTCAGTTTGGAAGCGCGGGCGATCATTAGCAAAGATCGCCGTCTGGAATCACTCACATACGTACAAGCCCGTTGGTGACTGCGATTGAATCCGATGCATAAGCGACCTGAAAATAGTGCTTACGTGCACCTCGCCGCTTTGCCTTATATGTTTGTTAAGTTTGGGGACCAGATCGAGGAATGTGATGGGCGCTCTTATTATGGTCGTGGAGACGCGATGATATGCCACGCATGCCCCATCATTATTTATCGGATCGTATGTCCCGATGAACTAAGAAATGATCCCTTGTGCGTTTGTAGAAGCAAATAGGCGCACCTGTGAGGAAGTTGAAAGGCACTTGACAGTTCATGGCGTCCTGATAAACCTACAGTCATTCTTCGGAAGATCATATACTCACGAGGCTCTACTTCAATTGAATCAATCCAAACGAAATCCAAAAAAAAATTCCTCAAGGCTCACTGCGCGTCTTTGTATACTCCCAGGAGTATACGGAAAGTCTTCGTAAAGAGGCCGGAGAGCCCGCGACGAAACGGTTGTAAAAATAAAATGTCATCGTGAGTCAATTTGTTCCTGGAGCGTGAGTTGTGCGGTCAGCGAGCGACCGTACCACCGGGCCGGTCAGTGCGCTTTGTTTACCAAACGACTTGTTCTATTTGTCTACTGCTTCCGCCGACGTGTAATCTCTGCATTCAAGGAGTGAATCATATTTCAGTGGGAGAATCACCTGGTTGGACAACGTTATTTTGTCGCTGCGCACCTCTACTAACGAATATGACCCTCTGCTGGTTGGCTAATGCCGGCCTTTCAACCCTGAAGGTGAGCCGAGTTTGTAAACAAACCAAAAATAGTACTTAGTTGCTCCAGATTGCACGCGTGCTGAAGCGCTGATTCCTGAAGGCATATGCTTTCATCAATTGGTAGTTCAGCTTCATGAATTCCTGATGATCATTGACGCTTTCAATTTGTTTAGTACATGGTCAATTCTGCTCCCGGTGTCTCCCAGCGACCATTACAACGACAGCGAAAGCCAGACAGTCCAAAGCCTCGTGAACTCCGAGCCGACTAACGGAAGAGAGTGCTACTCAAAAACTAAGAGCTTCGTCAAAGATTCTCCCCCGCAGTGGCGTAATAATGATTCAAGAAACGATATTGTGCGCCTCATCTAATATATTTATTAGTTCTGCGTGTTACATAAAGGGAGTGGCTCAAATGCTGACAGTGTTCAGATGCGTCAGAAGGGAAGAAGAGGGCCCAAAATGGTACAGAAAACGACTAAAGCCTCGTGCTTCAGTCATGCGGCCCTCGCCATTGGCTGCTATTGGGTACGCACTCTATTATTATGATATAATCCCCCCTTATTGTTTCATATCTGTTGTATAAATAGACAATGATGATCTGGATCCTCCGAACTTCAACCTTGCGTCCCTGCGCAGTACGAGCTGCATTATCTACCGTGAAAATTCGAACGAAACGAGGGATTATAACGTTGATATCAGTGCATGATGTCAAAGTAGGCTCGGTTACAGGAAACGTCATTGGATTAAGTCGAGGACTGTAAGCAAAAGCGTCTATCTGCTGTTGATCTATTAATAGCTTCGCCGTATCGTTCGCGCCTACTCTGGATGGAACGATAACAAACGTCCACATGTCCGCACCCCTAGAATTCCTCACACGGCGCAGTAATTTTCCATTACTTCCTTCTGTCCGTTTGTTAGACAGATTTTCTCATGAGTTCCTCCTCAATTTAGGCATCCCCAAAGTCACGAATGGGCGTAGTCTCTACTAGTCCATGGTTGATGACAGAGGATAGCATTTGTCTTTTCTCAAGCGTCGCACCAAAAAGTCAGGTCAAATCTATGACTAAACTTGAAGGACCGCAAAATCTTCAAACAATTGCCTCTGGACCGAAGGCTTCCTTGGCCGTCGATGTTACCGATTCATTACAGCCATCAGGTACTGTTACATTTTTAGAATGGACCATTGTGAGCTTCTGATTTAATTGTGATGACCTCTGACTCGCCAATTGATAGGCAAACATCGTTGTCCGGTCTGTTGAGCATTGAAAACGCTCATCTTTACTCCGCCCGATTCTTCCCTGCAGAATCTGCCTCGCAGTACCCTTCCCCGGGTGATTTCGCTAGTCTGGATGCCCTTTACCCTCATCGTCACCAGACCAAAAAAGTTACATCTTTTCTCCATATTTCCCCTTCTGAGCAACCCACCGCATGTGTTGATCCTCGAAAAAATTGACAATGTGGACACGGCGACTTTATTCTATTGAACGACCTTATGTCTGCGATCGTTTTGATGCGTAATAGACCGCCTAATCGTTCCATACAGGCTGAAATCTCATCCGAACAATTCTCCCACTGGGTAGCATTTCGTGTCGTCTTAGCCAGCGCAGAAATACATAAGACCGCTGGCCAAAGTTTTGATCTCCATCTCGACTTCTGCCCCAATCGAGTTCTTGTACGCGGTATACCATGCTCAAGGCTTCCTCTTTCGTTTTGATCCTAGGGCTTGTCAAGCTCGTCGCCTCCGCCCCAACTTCGGCGAGTGCCACAGTTTCCGGCAACGCAACTGTGGCGGCGAGCTCTACTGTGTCTGCAGCTTCGTCTACTGCAACAGTCGAATACGCCTCTACGGACCCGAATGAGGTCCTCTGGAGCGAGGACAGTGACCCATCTCTCGTCAAGCCCGAACGCGGCACTCTGGGAGCCTCCGTCATAGGCCCTGATAACCTGCCCATCGATTTGCAGAATCCTGATCTCATGGCACCCCCCACCACTGATTCAGGCACTGTGTAAGTTTCCCTATGCCAGTGATTCTCATCGAATTTCATCTCATTTCTGCCCGAATCATATTACCTTCCTAGTATGAACGCGAAATGGCCTATGTCTTTTAGTCACAATCGTCTGCAGACGGGCGGTTGGGCACGCCAGGAGAACAGTGAGCTATTTTTATGCATGTGTTCCCTTGATGCTAATTATCCTGCGACAGTCGGTGTGATGCCTATCGCCACTGGTAAGTTGGTCTTGTGCCATACCGTACTGCGATCTGATACACTTTCTTAGAAATGGCTGGTGTCAATATGCGGTTGGAAGCGGGAGCTATCCGGTGGGTGTTTACGCGTCAAGGCGGCCGAATAGCTTATTGATGGACAACGCTTAGTGAATTGCACTGGCACAAAACTGCCGAGGTATTATTTGTTTGTTTGAAGGTCGGCGTGTATCACTGACGTGTTATTTTTGGTTGGAAGTGGGCCTACGTTCTCAAAGTATGCGGCTTGGTATTATTGC